GGAGGAGGAGGGGGAGCGAGGGGAGAAGGTGGTGGAGGAGGAGAGGAGGAGAGGAAGTGGGAGAGGAGGAGGGGGAGAACGTGGGGAGAAGGTGGTGGATGAGGAGGAGGGGAAGAGGAGGAGGAGGTGGAAAGGGGGAGAAGAGGAGGAGGAGAGGAGGTGGAGGAGGAGGGGGAGAACGTGGGGAGAAGGTGGTGGTGGAGGAGGAGGGGGGAGAAGGTGGAGGAGGAGGGAGGAGGAGGAGGGGGGAGGAGGAGGGGGAGTGGATGAGGTAGAGGAGGTAGATGGCGCCTCCGCTACCTCCCCCTCCCCACCTCCTCTCCTCCTCCTCTCTACTCTCCTCCTCCTCTCCTCTCCTCCTCCTCTCCTCTCCTCCTCCTCCACCTCATCTCTTCTTCCCTCCTCCACCCTCTCCCCCTCCCCCTCCTTCTCCTCCACCTTCTCCCCCTCCCTCTTCCCACATTCTCCCCTCTCCTCCTCACCACCTTCTCCACGTTCTCCCCTCCTCCTCCTTCACCTCTTCTCCTCCTCCTCCTCCTCCTCCTCCTCCTTCTCCTCCTCTACCTCCTCTCCCTCCTCCTCCTCCTCCTCTGCTCCTCTCCTCCTCCTCCTTTTCTCCTCCTCCTCCTTCTCCTACCACCTTCTCCCCCCTCCTGCTCCTCCTCCATCTTTTTCCCTCCTCCCTCATCCTCCACACGTTATCCCCACGTTATCTCCCCCTCCTCCTCCTCCTCCTCCTCCTCCTCCTCCTCCTCCCTCCTCCTCCTCCTACCTCTTCTCCTCCTCCTCCTCCACCTCCTCTCCTGCCTCTCATCCTCCATCCACCACCTCCCCACCTTCTTCCCCTCCTCCTCCACCACGCTTCTTCCCTCCTCCTCGACCCACAGCCTGTATCACTGTTCAACAATGAATAATAAACACCAAGTGAGTAAATGTCCAGGGGTAATTGTCCGGGGGGTAAATGTCTGGGGTTAATTGTCGCGGGGGTAAATGTCGGGGGTAATGCCCGGGGGGGGTAAATGTCCGGGGTGATTGTCCGGGGGGTGAATGGCATGGGGTAAATGTCCGAGGGGTAATTGTCCGGGGGTAAATGTCCGGGGGGTAATTGTCCGGGGGTAAATGTCCGGGGGCAATTGTCCGGGGGTAAATGTCGCGGGGTAATTGTCGGGGGGTAAATGTCCGGGGTAATTGTCCGGGGGGTAAATGTCCGCGGGGTAATTGTCCGGGGGGTAAAATGTCCGGGGGTAATTGTCCGGGGGGTAAATGGCATGGGGGTAAATAGGCATGGGGGTAATTGTCCGGGGGGTAATTGTCGCGGGCGGTAATTGTCCGGGGGTGATTGTCCGCCGAGGGGTATTTGTCCTAGAACCGTACGCTGGCGTATATCGTGGGTTATTCGTGTG